AGACCAAAGATGGTCTGGGTCACTGCCTGGGATCCAGTTGAACTCAGTGCCTACTGCACCACACTCAGCTTGGTGTTGTCCGACACTACCCCTCAGGCCACCATACTTAGAGTATTTTAACAACCAAGGAATAATCTATTTCTATGTCTTAAAGTTTTGGTGGAATCTGCTTATAAAACCATTTGGAAGATACTAAGAATAAATCTGTATTACTTTTACATTTACTTCTGTTGAAAGGACCTTTTTAGAGTCAAATTTTAGTTAAATATGAATTATTTAAATACTAATTGTTTTATTTTTCTTAAAAAGTGTCTACATAATTTATCTAGATTAGCAGTTCTCAAAGTGTCTAGAAACCCCTAGGTGTCCTTGCAAGCATTTTTTTTTTTTAATTTCTGGAGATTGATCCTAGGACTTCACACATGTTAGACATGCACTCTGTCACTAAGTGGACCCTCTTTATCACTTTAAAATATTTATTTTGAATCAAGATCCCCCATTAAGTTTTCCGGGCTGGCCTTGAATTTGTAATCCTCTTGCTTTAGCCTTCTGAATAGCTGGGTTTACAGCTGTGTACCACCATACCCAGAAAAAGAATTAAAAATATATATATAATTTGCTTTTTTCATTCTTATTCTTTGAAGAGTACACGAGTTTTTTAGAGGCTACATGAATTGTATTATATACACATAAATGTGACATTTCTACATTTTTCTTTTTTCAAGGTACCGGGGGATTGAACCCAGGGCATTTGCCCTGAGCTGTTCCCCAGCACTTATTTTATTTTTTATATTTTGAGATAGGGCCTTCCTAAGTTGCTAAATTGTCCAGAGTGCTGAGATTATAGGAATGCACCTTCTCTTTTTCAGTCTCTTTGTCTCTCTTTTTCTCTGCTTTCCTTTCTTCCATCCCTCCCTCCCTTCCCTCTTTTTTTTTTTTAGCCTTCTTTCCTTTTTCTTTTTTTGAGATAGAGTCTTGTTATGTTGCTCAGCATAGCCTGGAGCTCACAATCCTCCCACCTCGGCCTGCAGAGTAGCATCACCATGCTCAGCTGCCAGATGTGATATATCTCATACTTTGATTTCAGTTTTTTGGCTCATGTCCCAGTTTAATATTCAGTACTTTCTTACCTTTCCAGTTTTCTCTCTGATCATTAAACACCTTCTCTTCTTTATGCACACACATATGCACTCTACTTCAAGTTTACTGAATTGTAGTTCCTCAACATGCCATTTTTAATGTTCCCCCATTTGTTCTTCCTTTCTACCAGCTCTGCTTGAATCCACCTCTATTCCTGTGGGTCTACTGTCATCCACTTTCTTTTTGTTTGTTTGTTTGTTTTTTTTTGAGACAGGGTCTCACTATGTAGTTGAGACTGACCTGGAACTCACTATGTAGTCCAGGCTGGTCTCGAACTCACAGTGATCCTCCTGCCTCAGCCTCCTGAGTGCTAGGATTACAGGCGTGTACCACCACGCCCGGTCTGTCATCCAGTTTCATTGTTTGGTGCTAGATAAACCTCTATTTCAGAACTCTTTAATTTGAGGCATCCATAAACCTTTAAAAATTTTTTTTTATTTTTGTCTATGTCTGTGTGTGTGTGTGTGTGTGTGTGTGTGTGTGTGTTTTATTGGAGTAGATAAGTACTTTTCAAGCAGTTATTCACCTGCCCCATTTAGGACTTGTCTGGAATCTCAAAGTTAAAGCAGCATCCAGGATTAAATTTTATGGTTCTTGAATTTTCCAAAGGTGACATACTGCCTCTGGTATCAAATTTGATTAAACTGGGTAAATTTAATGCTATTTGGTTCTATTGGGGAGGAAGAATTTAATTGCTTACTCTAGAGAACAGACTTTTTTCCTAGTGACTAAGGAACAGAACATTTATTAAAATTATCATGGTGACCTAAAAGGGAGAAATGTGCGTTGTACTTTTTTTCCCCTTGGTGGAAGTAGGTCCAGGACATTATTAGCACGTGGTGAAAATTGAATAATTGAGCAATACTGACTTCTTTGGGATTCAGCCTTTTATCCCCTGCTGTGTGATTAGTTCTGTCCAATCTGCTCGTGTGCTTGTGCAGGGAGCCTGCATAAGATTTAGGAAGGAAAAACCCTTTAGCAATTCTCAAGTACTGAAGACATATGATTTAATTTCATACAACACATGGTTATCTGGTTTCCCTTGGCAACCTCCAGTGCTGCCCTACTTTATAATTGACAGGATACATTGCACACTGGATGACATCACCTGCAAGTGACTGTAGAGAATAGTTTGCCTATAAGAAGAGACAAAAAGGTCACTAAAGGACAGAAGAGTCCCTTTAAAAAAGAGTAGATCATTCCTATAGCTCAGACTTTAATTGATGAAGGAGATCTACTTATAGCAATTTGGGGATGAGAAGGAATAGGACCAAATCCTATTCATCTTTTATGGGGTGAATCTGAATTTTCTTATTGCAAATTACAGATAAGTTTTCACTGTAATAATAACATTTATTAAGTACATGTCAGTAATCTTACTTGGTTTCTTATATTCATGATTTCATTAAATTCTCATATCTCTGCAAAGAAGTATACCATTACTTTATAGGTGATGTTTTTTGACCTCTCAAAATGTAACCCTGAAGAAAGGATAGGACAATTTTTTTTTTTTTTTTTTTTTTGGTGCTGTGGATGGAACTCAGAACCTTGCGCTTTTGAGGCAGGCAGGGTACCACCGAGCTAAATTCCCAGCCAGGACAATATTGATTGTAAGGTTTTAGCTTTGTGTCTTCAAAATCCTATCAGTTTCAGTAGCATTTATTACAAAACAGTGTACTAACTAATGTCTATTAATACTTGTAGCCTTCCAAGAAAGTTTAAAATTGTAGTAGTTTTTGTTCAACTCCCATTTTTCATCTTAGGAAACTGAGGCCCAGAGACTAGTGAAGCTTAAAGCCTGATTTTCTGACTTGTAGTAATTTGTGTCTTATACTATTTCCTTATAATTTGAAATAAGGCTTGAATACTGGGTAGAGAAAAGGAAGAAATCTTATAGAATGATGATACTAGGTTGAGGCAGCAGACATAGTAAATAAATCATGCATTTGGAATAGTTCTTAGTGATTAATTGTTCTACTTGACTCAAATCTTAACATATTAATACACCTAATGCTTCTGAATGATCATAAGTCTTCAGAAGGGTCTGGTGCCCGCTGATCATTTGAAGGAAGTCTTGTTTATTGAAAAGGAGAAGGTGCTACCTATATAATACTGCACATATACAGAGTCTGCTAAAAATGTATACATACAAGGGAAAAAACTGGTATAGACATTATAATACTAATTTGTTGAGGCATCATGAGATTAATACAAGTTACCTTTGGCCTCTACAATTACAAGAGGTGCTCATTAGCTTCCAGACATTTATTGGTACAGCAAACTTCTGCTTGGGTAACCTTGGTCATTGAGATTGATGCACATGCATTTTCAGTTTCTTCTTCTCTAAGGGCTGGCAGTGTAGGTTTTCTGCATGCACAATATCCTCTGGGATCCCCATAAGAGAGTAACACCAACTGTTGAGAAAAACATCATACTATTTTTCTTTTCCCTGAAGTGTGTATACATTTTTTTGGCAGAGTCTGTATTAAGTCATGTCTGAAGTAGGTGTGCTGGCCATTTTTGTGACATGTAAAAGTAGACACTATATATGGTGTTTTATTGACTTATATGTGTAGGTTTTTGTTATGTTCACAATATGTCATATATTATAGCAAGGTATGTTATTCTCTTTTTCTGAGGTGAAAGCTGTAGGAGCCTAATGGCAAATTGAGAAATCTTAGTGACACACATTTACTATGCAAAGCACTTTACATGAATTTCATTTAATCCTTATAACATCTATGATTGTGAATATGATAATCTTCATTTTAGTAATTTTCAGTGTGTGTGTGTGTGTGTGTGTGTGTGTGGTACTGGGGATTGAACCTGGAACCTTCATACTGAGCTATATTCCCCATCCTTTTAAATTTTTTAATTTTGAGACAGGGTCTTAATAAATTGCTAAATTAACCAAGTTGAGCTTGAACTTGCAGTCCTCCTGCTTCAGCCTTCCACTATAGGCATGTGCCACTATACCAGGCTAGTTTTTCATTTTTTTTTCAGTTTTTTATTAATCCTTTCCAGAATATTTTCTTTAACATGTTGTGAGAATTTTAGAATAATATAGAAAAGGGGAAGGAATGTCAATGAATGGTATAACCCACTTAGATTCTATGATTGTTACTACTTTTGTAGTTTTTTTTTTGAGACAGAGTCTCGATATGTAGTTCCGGCTGGACTTGAACCCACTAGATAGTCTAGGCTGGGCTCTAACTCACAGTGATCCTCCTACTTCAACCTCCCAAGTGCTAGGATTATAGGTGTGTGCCACTGCACCCTTCTGTTACTACTTTTCTATATTTGTTGTATTATATATCTAGCCATTCATTTATCCACCCATCAGTCGATCTTAGCTTTTGTTGTATTCAAAATGAGTTGCAGATATTACTACATTTAACTCCTGAATACATAAATGTGAATATTGTGAACTAAGTAGAGTTAAAAATATTATCTCTGTTGATAAAACCAAAAACTGGAACCCTCAATTCTATTTTGTGGGGGTCTGTGCATGCAGTCACTCTGGGCTTTCCCCTCTGAAATAATAAGAAAAAATTTATAAGCCACCATGTTAAAAATCACGCATACCTCATTAATGAGAATAGAAATCTGTAGGGAGGAGGGGGATACCCCTGTTGAATTCCTGGCCACAGCAAAACAGCATTGCAAAGTGAAATCTTACCTCATTTCTGATTGTAAATTGAGACTGAGGTCACTGCAACATTTCCAGACTTGAATTCTGTTAATAAGGGGAGTTTGACTAGCAAATTAGTTAAGCACTTTGGTAATGATATTGTAACTTAATTTCACTGAACATTTCTCCCTTTTTCTCTTCTTTTTGGGTGTGACTAAATTGCCTACAGCATGCGGCATGGTTGCTGGTAAAACAGGAAATGGGGTAAGTAATTTAGGTAGGGAGTTTTTAACCACCATTTAAATATGTTACCTGATTCTTAAAGTACTTTTACTACTACTGTCTCCTTTTTTTAGAGTGAAGTCACTAGCTACTAGAGAAATAATTTTTATTGTATAAATTTGGGGTATCAGATTTATTCATTTAGTTTACTTGCATAGCATATTAATTATTGAAGTGGATTCATTGTTTTATATGTGTAAATTTAATGTGAATATAAATATATATTTTATATGCTTTAGGTACTATATAATGTATTTTGATATCTTAAATAATAAATTATACATTGGTCTTAGAAACTAAATTATTAAACTAGGCCATAAATATAAAGTACAAAATTCTAGTTAAGACAGAATAGTAATGAGTTTATACACAGATAACTCATACAAAACATAAAATTTACAGTCTTTCATCTCAAACCCTTGGAGGCCAGATGTGTTTTGGTATTTAGAATTTTTGGAGTTTTAGGAATATAGTATGATGTCAGCTATCATATATAGCACACTTCTTTCTTGGGGTCGTACTAGATAATCAAGTACATTAATATTTCTGTAATAAAACAAGAATATTCACACTGTTTGGTAAACAAAGCAAATAGCCTCATGTGTTCAAATCAAGATTTGGTGCAAGCAAGTTTTAAAAAAAATATTTAATTCTCCATAGTTTTTTGTATTTCAAAGCTTAAAATTCTGTACCATAAAAAGGGCCAAGCCAGGAGTGGTGGTGCACACCTGTAATCCTAGTACTTGGGAGGCTGAAGCTAGGAGTATTGCTATGAGTTCAAGGTCAACTTGGGCTACATAATGAATTCAGGGTGAGCCTGAACTACATAGCGAGACCTTATTTCAAAAAACAAAACAAAAGAGCCATATGATTGTTGAAGTTTTCTGTAACTCTGTAGAGAAATGCCCAGAAGTACAGATGCTTGTACAGTATTAGAATGTCATACTTGGTTAAGTAATTTATAGAAAAAGTTTTTTTTGTTTGTTTGTTTTGTATCTGACATCTATGCTTTTAAAGTGATAATAATGACATTTATCGAAGGTTTGGGGGCTTAGCTAGGTTTTATTAGTCACAAAAGCTTACAATTCTGGTGTAGTAACAAAATTTGATTCTGTTTTCAGAAAATTGTTATCATAGTAAGAACATGCCTTTTTCTAAATGTTTTCAGTTTGCATCCATGTGCTTATGAGTTCCTTTTCATTCTATAAACTATAATTCCAAAGTATATGAAAGCACCCCTATAACCAGTTACAGTTTTCACTTGGATACTGAATACCATATGGACAGATCAACTATTTTTTAATTTGTATTTTTGGAGAAACAGTAGTTTTTATATTTTTTCCCAGATCAACTTACCCATTAGCTAAATTACTTTTTGCTTTCTACCTGCAGTTAGTAGTATCTTTTGGTCTTGCACAATTATATTAAAATGTATATTGCTTATAAATGGTAATTTCTATCAGTGAAAATTAGACACTTTTTAAAAGGGATGATTTAAGCTGGGTGATGTGGTGCATGCTTGCAAGCCCAGCTATTTAGCAGGGTTGCGGATTTAGCTCAGTGGTGCCGTGCCTGCCTCACAAGTGCAAGATCCTGAGTTCTATTCCCAGTACTAGAAAAACAACAGCAATGAAAAACAGCTATTTAGGAAACTGAAGCAAGAGGATTACAAGTTCAATACCAGCCTGGGCATTTTAGCAAGACCCTGTCACAAAATAAAGAAGGTTGCAGATATAGTTTAGTGATAGAGCACTTGGCCAGTGTGTGCAATGCCCCAGGTTTAATCCCCAATACTTGGGGGAAGAAAAGATGTGTGGAGGATTTACAAGTTGACCCTAACATCTCTGTTATTAAAAGTAGCCCTTTAAATAGCCATAAGACTGTTTTGAAATTTTATTTTAATTAAGTGAGCTTGTGAGTTTGTTAGTAATGTCTCAGTGTTCTCAATGGAGTAGTGTAGTTTTAGTAATAGCATACCATGTTTTTCTTTTCTCTTACCTCAGTTACTTTCTATTACAATTTTAGGTTACAAACTAAAGCTAGCTATCATAATAGGGACTTCCCAAAACTTGTGTATTGGCTGATAAGTAGATTTTTGGAGAACAGAGGATATTGATTGAGCCATTTATGTGATATTACGTTGATGAGCATTTCAGAACATTGATACTTCAGGATTTAGTATTTCTTCTTCAGCAGTAAGGTGAAAAAGGGTAGAGCTTTTACATTGATTTCCCAAAAGTGAGGCCCATTTTCAGCAAGAGAGAAGATGCAAACATTTTTAACATGGGTATGATTATTGTAATAGACAGTTTTATAGTTTCTGGGCTGTAAATGTCATTTCTTTCTCATCTTTCCAGAATATATAAATCCTGGATCTGGCAGTTGTAGTTCAGAAGAACATAGTATGTTTTTATCATCAAAGCTTTAAAAATTGTCTTATATGCCATTAAAAAGTACTGCCTTGATTTCACTAGATATAGGCCATGAAATGAGAAATCTTGGTATGCTTTATTCTCTGCTTTCTATCTAATGTATTAAATGTAACATATGATAGGCACTCAATCATAATTTTTAAAATAATTCTTGCCTTTCAAGGAAAAAATGAAGCTTTTCATGTCAGTAAATTATTTTTTATTTTCAGAAAACAGAGTCTTTTGCTGGGGAGAAATGATGTAGTTCAGTTAAAAGAAGCCTACAAATGGATAACACACCCCCTGTTTTCAGAGGAACTGGGTGTTCCCATTGATGGAAAGGTATCACATCATCAGCATTATTAATTTTATTCTCTCATTTCATTAGTTTTACTTTATTATATGGCATAGTTTTGTCTAGCCAAAATAATCTTCTCTTTAAATAATTCAGTAAAGGATTTCTAAGATTTTAAAATGTTACATACTTATTTATTTATTTATTTATTTTTTTGGTACCGGGGATTGAATTTGGGTCCTTGTGCTTGCAAGGCAGGCCAACGAACCGCTGAGCTAAATCCCCTGCCCCCAGTTTTGTTTTGTTTTGTTTTGTTTTGTTTTTTGAGTTACTTATTTCTTTATTGAGACAGGATGTTGCCATGTAGTTGAGGCTGATTTTGAACTCATTGTGTAGCCCACGCTGGCCTTGAACTCATGGCGATCCTCTTTCTCAGCCTCCCAAGTGCTGGGATTACAGGTGTGTGCCACTGCACCAGTCAAAATGTTAATTTCTAACAGTCATAAATTGAAGTTAAAGCCTCTTTTTTTTCTCTCTAAGACTTCTTTGTGATCCAAGATATTTATGGATTTAAGAGGTAATGTATACCCTAACTAACCTTAAAAGGTTAAAAATAACTTGTGCCTTTGTTAGTTATAGTTTAATTGGAAGGACAAATTTACTGATACAAAGTGATATGTTAATAACTGTGATCCAGTATAGAATCAACTCTAGACTGTTTAATTCTGTTTTATCTGTAGCTAACCTCATTTTAAAGTATATGGAAGTTACATATTCAACTATAGTGAAAATGGGCTGTCTATCCCACCTTATCAATATCTCAAGTCCCTTTGTTTACTGTTAGTCAGAGATTGCTTTCAAAACCAGAATACTTAGCTACATTCCTAATTCCTGAAATGGACTGAATTTCAGGAAAGAGCAGCTCAGGTTTCCAGATGTGAAAACAGAATATAGTCCCCTCTTAAATTAGATTTTAATAGTATATCCTCCTTGCCTGGTCATTTTTCTTAATATTCCTCCAGTCTTAGATACTCTCCTGTTCAAGTAAAATCACAAAGCCATCTTCCAAATAGTTAATAGTTAATAGCTAAGTAGTTAGATTTTTAACCATTCTAAATTGTACATTCTGTTTCCTTCAAATAGAACAAGCTCTGTCTTTAAAACTGAATACTGAGAGAATAGAAAACAAAATTTCTTCACAGATAGTATGAAGAGGAAATGAGGTAATGCAAGTACTTTGAAAATTAGAGAAGTCAGTAATGCAAAATATTTTTACCTCAAATTTCAGTTTTGAAGCGTAAATAATTTTACATATTGAATCAGAACAAAAAGAAAACAAAAGATGTGATAATGTTTTGATAAATTCAGGTCAAGTGAAGTTTTTCTTTAATAGACAATTGTGATTCACTTTAATTATATTTTGTAGATTAGGAGCCCCCCCCCAAAGCTATTTATTTTGATTGTAGAGTGGCTAATGGGCTTGCTAGAAAACCCATTGAACTTACCAAATACCAAATTTATAAATATACCACACAATAAATAGGCAAGTTGTAAGGTAGTGATATTTATAGCTTTTTTCTAATGTGGAATTTTGTATATTCTTTGCCGAGGTAAAAGTATATACAGTATGGAATCTTTTTTTTTTTAATGTACAAGAGTATTTGCTATAGCATTGTTTTTAATAACAGGAAAATTTTCTACAATTTAAATGTGTGACAGTCCTTAGAGTTGAAAGATGTCTGTGAAATAAGATTAAATAGAGCAATTTTCCAAGACTGTGCTTAATACCTCAAAAAGTGTATGTGTGTGTGTGTAAAAATGGTGAGAAACCCACGAAATTATTATTCCTGCCGTGGTGAAATGGGATTGAAAAACCATCCTGTATTTGATTCTTTTATAATTTGTAGGTACTACTTTTGTAACAAAAAATTAAGGTTTCTCATTTAAAACTAAAATTGATTAAGAAATTTGAGCACTTTAAAAATAAGCTTTGGGAGTGACAGTGTACACCTGTAATCTCAGCACTCTGAAGCCGGAAGATCGTCATGAGTTTGAGCCTGGGCTACGTAGTGAGTTCAAAGCCAGCTTGAACTATGTAGTGTGACCCTATCTCAAAAAACTAAAAAATAAGCTTCAAGCTGAGCACACTGGAGCATGCCTGTAATCTCAGCTACTCAAGATCTCAAGTTTGAAGGTAGCCTGAGTAATTTAGTGAGACCTTGTCTTAAAAAAAAAAAAAAAAAAGCTGAAGATATAGTTTAGTGCTGAAGTCCTCCATACCCCTAAATTAATTACAGAAAAAAAGGAGGGGGCTGAGGTGTAGCTCAGGGGTAGATTGTCCCTGGATTTGATCCCAAGCCCTGAAAACAAACATTTTTATATGAAGTTTTGAAGGATACAAATACAATGCAATGTTTTCTGTGTCTTTAATAATTCTGTCTCTCTAATAATTTTTCCTATAATAATTTTAACTATAGTATTGACTGAACCATTTTTCCTTTTAGTGATTATCTCTTTCCAGTTCTATACGTAGTTGCCCCAAAATCATATAAATTAATTTTTAAAAATTTAAAAACCTTTTTGGTAGTATCATTAGTGATTGAATTTTTAAATGGAAAAATGAAAACCTTTATAGCTGCTTTGTGAACAAGCTGTTTTGAGAGCAGTAGTATTTCTAGTTTTCCTTGTCATTTCTTCTGAACCAGTCTTTGAGAGTTAATTTCAATTTCCATTGATAAGTTTCCTTTTGCTCATTTTAAAACTGTCTTTATAATTTTTAGAGCTTATTTGAAGTGAGTGTGGTCTTTGCTCACCCAGAAACAGTTGAGGATTGCCACTTCCTGTAAGTTGTCACGTAAACAGCAATGTTAATTGTGTAAAATTGTTAATAGCTTTGGTTTTCATAAAAATAGTATTGTTTCTCTAATGATTATTTTAGAACTTGTCATATCTTAATAGGTTTAAAATGTAACCTCTCACATAAAGTTCCTAAGCAAACCAATACAGGTCATGTAGAGATTGATTAGAAATGCAGACCAAACCTGTTCCTGCTATCTTGGGTTTAGCAGCCATATTATGTAAAATATATTTGAATTATATCCATTCCCAATAAACTCATTAACCTTTTTTATTATCTTGAATTTTATTTTAGAGGTACAGTTTGCCCAGATTGTTTCAAGCCAGCCAAAAACAAACAGGTAAGAATACTTTTTATTTTTTATTAAGTTTTTTCTGTGCTGAATATTCAAGTTAACAAATGTACATTAAAAATGTGGCAACTCTGTTATACTAAGAATTAGTCTTTAAATATTTCCATTTCCTACATTTATTTTTACTACTTTTTTCAACTCTCAGCACCTTTGCCTCTGGCTAGGAAATCATAGTACAGAAATATTTGGCAGTGTCTAGGTTGTTCTACTGGTTCATTGAGTTTAGAACCAGAGTTTCAATGATGTTACTATTTGAGGAAATTCAACTTTCAATTTTGAACTCCCCAAATTACATCATCTGGGAATATCCATGGTAAGTATGAGTAGCATTCCAAACCTTTGTCTAATGTATATTTTCTAGAAATTGGTGTTTGAAAATATAAATCCAAGTAAATTTTTTTCTTTAAGCCATCCTGAATTAATATAAATTGAATATGTCTTATCCAAAATGCTTGGACCAGAAATGTTTAAAATATTTTGGGATTTTTTTGGACTTGAAGAGTTGCCTGACTTTGCTGGTTGACTTCCCTAATCTGGATTTTGAATTTTTAGGTAAAGAAAACTATTTAGCTATATTATATATTTGCAAACAGGCATTTTATTCATACGCTCTTGACTGCCTGATGTTGGCTGGTTTTCATGTTAATGAGGAAATTAGTTTATTACTTTTAGTACACATGCCATTTTGTTCTTATGATTGTTAGAATATATTTTATTGTTAGAGATACATATTTTGGTCTTCCCTTTGCTTTGACTAATTACTTGGCCTTTCAGAACTAGGGATGTGGAGGGGAAGTGTTTGTAACAGTTGTGAAGTACTAATTAGCTGTCAAGAAATAATTAGAAATGCAGACCAAACCTAAGACAGTGCTTCCATTTTCTTCTGATATCATGGCACACTTATATTACCATGTTTGTTCAACATTGTAAACTTAACAGATGACATTGTTCCAGGTTGGAACCAGTAGGCCTGAGGGATCCCATCATCCCAGATCCTTCCCAGGACACTTTGTGAGTGAAAGGGATAGGTATCTTGGCACAACTGTGGCTTGCTGCTTTACCATACCAGTTCAGAAGCTCTGCCCAAAGGACCTGTAAAACATCTGTGTTGAAGATATAGTTTCATTCTTTGTTACATTTGAGGAAATACAGAAGTCCTAGCATCGCATAATAGGATAAGAATTTTTTTTCAAAACTTCGTAGACACCATATTCTTTGGCTGGAGGGAGTTGCAAAGCCTCAAATGTAGGTTCTTTTTTTTTTTTTTTTTTTTTTTTTTTTTTTTTTTTTTTTTTTTTTTTTTTATTTTTTTTTTTTTTTTTTTTTTTTTTTTGGTTTTTTGAGACAGGGTCTTACTATGTAGTTGAGTCTGACCTGGAACTTACTATACTGTAGCCCATGCTGGTCTGGAACTCCCAGAAATCCTCCTGCCTCAGCATCCTGAGTGCTGGGATTGCAGGCGTGCGCCGTGACACCCAGCTCAAATGTAGGTTCTTACTTAGTGTCTGAGAGTAAATTGAATGACCTTGTGAGATTCAGGCCTAAGATTTCATATATTATGAAATAGACACTTAATTTTCAGTTCTGATCACATGGCTCCTTATAGAACTTTTCCCTAGGGTTCCCAAGATTATGGTTTCGAAAAATCATTGCTTTCACTAATGACAAACTGTTAAGATGCCTACTTTTTACTCTTTTCCAGTCACATGTGATTCCTTATTACAGAAGAAATAATTATGATTTATGTACTACTTGTACATGAAATACATATTAATATTCCTTGAAGTTTGGCTTTTTATTTTTAAAAAATTCAAGTGAGCTGTGCATGGTGGTGCATACCTGGAAATCCAGCACTAGGGAGTCCAAGGCAGGAGGATTATGAGTTTGAGGCCAGCCTGGACCACATAGCCAGACCTACAAAACCCAAACCCAATTGGGACATTTGTTGTAGATGCCCTTCTGTTCAGTGTAGTGGATTTGCTTACTTTGTGGCTGTTAGTAGATGTGGTAGAAGCCAGAGTGGACTGGCTGGTTCTCATTTGCCCCAACCTTAGCAGCCAACTCCTAAATTGTATACCATTGTGGCCAATGAAGGGATGTAGGGAAGAAAATGTAGATGGATCAGTCTAAATTCCTCTTGAAATGTGAGGGAAAAAGTTCAAACCATATTTTGTGCAGTGTCATTTTTGTATTTGAAGAATGCCACCTTGTGAGGAGTTCCTCAGTACAGTAAAGAAGACTTATTCTGCTCGATCTACCTGGCACTGTGGACAGAGGCCAGATTGGAGAGAAGGGTTGTAGAAGTGTACTAACTACAGAACTGACATTATGAGTGCTTAAATTTTACTTATTTTCTTGGGACTATGAAGTATTTGCTGTTTTTAAGTATGTAAAGAAATGTAATTTATCTAGTCATGTTCTGCACTTCAGCTCCAATGTTTTATAGTTTAGATAATAAAATCTCTTTTCATTTTGTCCTGTATAGTCGGTGTTCACTAGAATGGCAGTTATGAAAGCTTTGAATAAGATAAAAGAAGAGGATTTCTGCAAGTAAGTAGAAGTATAAAAATAAGGAAGCAATCATGGATTTTTAGAATAAAGGGATGGTTAGAGATAATCTGGTTTATCTCCAAAGCAAGACTGGATGTGTTTCAGAGATCATGTCTTATGTGCTCCTAGCTCAATAGCTGGCATATAGTCATGTTCGATAGATGTTTATCAAATTAATATTTGAACTTTATTATGTTGAAAAGAGGATTTTCATGTCCAGAAAGGACCTGTCTTACCTGAGTTTTCAACTGGGTGATAGAGAGTGAACCTCTTCTGGCCCAGTGCTATTTTTTTTACATCCCTTATTCTGTATTTCCTAGGATGGCCCATTTCCAGAGGAGGGAGAAGGCTTGGGAGTTTCCTTAGATGTAATGGGAATAGCACTGACTGGGAGCAAGGGAACCTGGCCCTAGTCCACTATCTTTTCCTCCATTGAAATCCTGGGCAGTTTAACTCCATTTTTGGATGTCAATGTCTTCTAAAATATAAATTATTAAAATATGCTGAATTACAATAAGTACAGTAGTAAACCTTATAATTTATCAGTGTATTTAATTTATTAAATAAAATATTATAGTTATCCTTCCAGAATATCCTGTAATAAATTTCAAGTGGTGACATTATGAAGAGGGTTTCATATCTTTTACTGACTAAAAACGAATCTCAGAATGGACATATGTTTATTACATTTTAGAACGTAAACAATTTTACAAGCACAAGTTCCTGAGTTTCTAAATGATTTCTTTGTAAAGGCATCCTGGGAAACTAGGAAAATTTTAAGCCATTTTACCTTTAGGGTAAATTCCACATCCAGCTGGGTGTGGTGGCTTCTACTTTATAATCCCAGCTACTTGAATGACTGAGGCAGAATGACAAGTTTGAGGCAAGCCTGGGCAATTTAGCAGGGCCTTGTCCAAAATAAAATAAAAGTTGAAGATATAGTTCAATGGTAGACTATTTGAATGACCCTCTGTGTTCAATCCCTAGTACCACCAAAAATATATCTTATCCAGATCTAGTAATTTATAAGTAGACTCTAGTTTTTGACTTTGGAAATTTCTATATCATGAACAGAAAATAAAGCCATATGTTGTTCTTTCCCATCTGTCTTCAGTGGGATTGAAGTTTCTTAGCTAAGAGGGGAGAGTGTCAGCCACTTTCTTCTTTTTCTGTTCTGTGCTCCAATTCCCAAAGTCATAGTTGGAATTTGAGGGAAGAAAAATGAAAAATGGTAAAGTACCTTCCTAAAGGTGGACATTTGCCACTGGTGGGATGTCCTCCACAGATGGGACCACTCACTGCACTCAAGCCTTACCCAAATAATTGAGAATTGTGTAAGCCAGCAGCAAGTGACGGAGGAGAGAAAAATGGTTGAGGACACTGGAGGGGCTTCCACTTCATATATATGGATTTCCCCCAAAATTTCAAGGCTGTTAGAAATCATTATTTGGGAAGATGAAGCTTCCTGAGCTCAAAAGGTAGCGTCTGAGGCCTGATTTTCTTAGTTCCACTGTTAAGTGTTAAAAATGGTACTGCAGGATGTGAGGGCGATCTGCGTGCAACATCTATCACCCCATTGATTGCCAGGGTTGATTTGGCTGATGTGTCTGGCTAGTGGGTGTCCCCTTCTTCCCTCACTGTTCCCTTCTGAAGCTGTGTCCTGCGGGGGGAGCAGATGACCAACCCCAACACCGATGGAGGAGGACCCATTTCTTCCCCATGCGCTTTGCTGCTAGAACCACTAGAGTCCTAAAAGACTTTTAATTGTTCTCAATCTAAAAGGTAGGGAAAGGCATAGTACTTCAGAAAACCCAGATTCATAGTTCTTTAGAGACCCAGACAGTGCTGATTCATCTTAGTTTTGTGATTCAATATCATGTCTGGAAAATAGTAGCCATAAATTTATTTTGTTTTGCAGGCAGTTTCCTTGTCCTCCAAACTCGCCAAAGGCTGTATGCACTGTTCTTGAAATTGAATGTGCTCATGGTGCTGTTTTTGTGGCTGGTAAAATATTTAGTCTAGAATATATGCACACTGCCAACTTATTGTCCTTTCTGAACGCCTCAACTGACAACTCTTCTGCTTTAATCTTACTGGTGTTAGGAGGTTCTGGTTAGTTTACTCTTTTGAGAAGTAGAACTGTTAGCCAAATTTATTTTAGATTCTGTAGCCTTTTTTTTTTTTTTAGCCTTAAATTTTTTATTAACTACATATTTTTTTTTCTCTTTGAGTTTATTTGTACATTTTAGGAGTACAGTACAGTTACATTCATTACTGGGGTATGTACCTTTACATGACAGGTCTTGGTTCTCATTTTTTCCCCTTGTCCCTGCCCTCCCTTCACAGCCAAATTTATTTTAGATTCTGTAGCCTTTTTTTTTTTTTTAGCCTTAAATTTTTTATTAACTACATATTTTTTTTTCTCTTTGAGTTTATTTGTACATTTTAGGAGTACAGTACAGTTACATTCATTACTGGGGTATGTACCTTTACATGACAGGTCTTGGTTCTCATTTTTTCCCCTTGTCCCTGCCCTCCCTTCACCCCTTCCTTCCCTCCCCATTTACAAACACTTTATTTCCATTTTTTCATTTTCTCATATTTTTTCTTTTCCCTTATTACCTTTTCCCTACCCTTCCCATTTTCCCTACACCTTTAGCCCTTTTCTTCTTATTTCATATTGTCAGTTATCTCATTAGGATCTTATGTACTATTATAGTTTTTCATACCAGAGAAGATTTATTTCTTTAGTCTGTACCTCATCACTTTCCTTGAAGCCAGTGATTATGAATTGTTCTTTAGAGTTGTCTATAAGCTCTTGGATAATCTTTTGATTATTTCTTGTCCCTTTTTTCATTATTACTCACTGAGTGTTCTAGTATGTTCAAATTGTCTTTATTTTTTTTTCCTCATTGAGTTTATTGGTACATTTTAGTTATACAGTACAGTTACATTCATTATTGGGATCTTGTACCTTTACATGGCAGATCTTGGTTCTCATTTTTACCCCTTGTCCCTGCCCTCCCTTCACCCCTCATACCTCCCCCTTTACAAACACTTCATTTCCGTTTCTTCATTTTCTCATATTTTTTTCTTTTCCCTTATTAGCTTTCCCTACCCTTCCCACTTTCCCTACAACTTTAGCCTTTCTTAAAGATCATCCAGAAATCTGTTATTTAAAATGCCATGCCAACGAGAATTTCTATCAGAGATTGAATTTTCAGTTTTTCAAATTTATTAGTTTCCATCAGATGTTCAAGTAGAAAGATGGGCAGATGAGACTCAAAACTAATGAGGGAAACTGCAGCATAAAAGGATATTTTATAACATGGAACACAAACTTGAAAAAATAATGTATCTCCCAAATGAGTAAATACTTGGCTTTTCCCTGGGAAAAAAGAAATTGTTACATTGACTTTCCCAAGCAGTATGATAGAAGTTTTTGTTTTCAAAGTTACAGCTGCCTCATAGTAATAGCTGAAATGAAATTGTGAGCTAGCCTCAATCACCCTAGGGTAATGAAAACTTTTCACCTTAGTGTAGCTTTACTCATAAAGCAGTGAGTCATAGTCTGCCAGGGTTTTTGTTTGTTTTTTTAACTTACAGAAACTTCAGAATTTCCTATATTTGAATCCCTTGGAATACATTATCACCAGTGACTATTACACTGAAAGTGTTATTAATCATGTGTAAAAGCAATAGTTTTTCTTTTTTAGTGTGTTCCATAGTATAACTTGTTCAGTTAGCCATATTACTGAATGTATTAAGCATTTTTTCAGATTTATTCCTACAGTGTTGTTAGTCTGTTTTGTTGTTACTTTTTATCTGATTATCTTCATGTCTGTGTGCTAGCTCCTCAAGTTAGATTGTGAATTAAAGACTAGACCTTGTTTTATATCATAGCACATAGGATATTGGCACTCATTAAAAATTGTTGCTTCTCTTTTTATTCTATTGTGTTAATTATGCCATTCTATACAGGCTACCTAATATTTCTTTTACAGGGAGATATAATAAATACTCCAGAAATCTACCACAAACTCCTTGGATAATTGATGGAGAAAGGAAGATGGAATCTTCAGTTGAAGAATTAATTTCAGATCATTTATTGACAGTATTTAAAGCAGAGAGTAAGTTATAATGCTCATATTTTAAATCCATTGTCAATCATGAACATATTTCTTTCGGTTGGCAGGAAAATCACTGTATTTTGTTAATCACTACCAAGCCCAGACCCCTTGGCTGTAGGCTTCCCATGAATAGAGAGTATTGTCCAGGTTTCTATGACCTAGGCTGGATTTTAGCCTAGGTATCCAGGAATGTCTTTCCTTTCTCAAAATGCCTGTTCTGTCCTGGGAAATTGAACACTTTAAATGAATGCACTTGGTACACCACAGTTTTCTCTAGTAGTTATTTAAGAGTCATCACTGGCAAATATCTAACTTCTGTTTTAACATATAAAGTGTGTTAGGATAAAGTTCAGGCCTAGAGAAATTAGATGGACAGAAGCCAATTTACAAAAACCTCATGCCAGCACGTTGCATTTTAATTTCCTAGGTATTAACGTGCCAGAGTTTGTGGGATGAGTCAGGTCCTGTCGGGCTTACATTTTCCTTGTCTCAACTAGACCTGTCAGGTCAGAGGCAGCATAAAGTCTTAATTTCAGGTAGGAGTAAAGACTAATGAGCTACTGCCATGAGCTTTTACCTATTTCATTTAGTATTTACAGACTGGTTCTCTCCTAAGTTTTGTGATTGAATATCATGTCTGGGAGATTATGAAGAAGTAGAAATACAGCTTAGCCTAAAAAGTCTCTTTGAAAGTCTTTTTGGGACTACTGTGCTTCTTTTCTTTAAGAAGATTCAAAAAAACCTTCAATTCTATATGTTTCAAAGAAGCTCTCCGAAGGAAAGCTCCTGTTATCTCAGAGGGCTCTGACATAGATGTATGTTTCCCCGTTGCACTCTTTCCTGAAATTGTAATTTTCCACAGGAAGGGAGAACTGTTGTCCCCAAACTGAAAATAAAGCAAATTGTGTGTTCAATATGGATGCTAAGGAAATGTATTAAGAGCCATTTGAGAAAAAGTAGAACTCTAGTCCTATGTGCTAAATGACTCCTTCTCTAGGGAAAAAACCTTGTTGTTTGAAAATTTGAATTAATAGCATTAATTTATTAAACCAATGTTTTTCAGATATATTACTGATTATTTTTGATTAAGGGCTTATATGTAAAAATTCTAGAAAGGTGATTTTATTTGTTGTGCTCCTGGGTTTTACAGCTCCATGAAATAAATCAGTATTACATGAAGCAGCCTAGTTACATAATTGTTCTTCCCTATACACGGGATATGCAAACTTGTTTCTCAGTCACTTCAAACTGGCACATCTTGTTATCTGCTTGCTAATTTCCTAGTTAATGAGTAATATTTTGACACTTTTAAAATCCGTGAGTGTTTCCCCCAGTACTACATTTATTACTTTATTGATTGAATAACTATCATATCAACTCCCTGCTACAAAGTGGTCAATGATAAGCTGTAAGATAAAGCCCAACTCCTTAACTTGATATTCTGGCCTTTGTCATCTGGCCTTTGCCCATTTTTAAGCCTCAGTGTCATCTGCCCTTGGGTACAAGGCCACTGTAGATTGATTAGTTGAACCATTTATAGGTCCTGATCATTTTTGCCCTTGATTTTGCTTTTGAAATATCCTTTCCTTTGACCAGAGGGGTTGAAGAACCCAAGAATTAGAGGTTATAGCAAGAACTAATGTGATTTTAGAAAACTAACTTTTAAGGGTATATTTTCTAATACTTAAGGAAATGGCTGCTTTTTCCATTTTTTGTCAGCTATTATTCCTGATTACACACTAATAAAGTTTTCAGGTTTGCCTCTATATGTTTTTCCCACTCTACTGTCCAAGGATATTTTCTTGGTTCTCAGTTTTGAAACATTTTTTTTTCTGAAAGGTGGAATCCATACTCCTCTTTTGGTCTGGATTTGGTGCTTCTCTGGCCCTTGCAAGAGCTTAGCTTTCTACACTTCTTTCTCATTTATGGCAGGAATTTGTGGGGAGTTTTATGGACTGATCTGCGAATCTGAGATTTCTAGGCTGAGTTCATGTAACTGGTAGACTTACTTCTGAGTCCTGTTCATTCTTGTTACCCCCACTAATCATGAGTTCTAGCTTAGTCACTGGGGCCCCCTGCTTCAGATTGGGAGATGGATGTGGAGAGGTATAAGATAAACCACTGCCGTATGGAGTCTATACCTTTCAGCCTGCTAGAAACCATTTTGAATTCTTGTTTTGTTTTGTTTTTTCCATTAAGTTTATTGGTACATTTAAGGTACAGTTACATTTATTATTGGGATCTTGTACCTTTACATGATATATCTTGGTTCTTATTTTTCCACATTCCCCTGCCCTCCCTTCAACCCCTTCACCCTTCCCTGTTTACAAAGACTTTGTTTCCATTTTTTCTTTTTTTTCATATTTTTTCTTTTCCCTTATTTCCTTTCCCCTACCCTCCCACTTGCCCTTCTCCTTTAGACCTTTTCTTCCTATTTCACACTGAATTCTCGTTTTAACCACAGCTTTCCATTAGTGCTTGCTACTGGTTGAGTGTGTAAACTCTGTCTGGAGGCTTCTGATGTTGCTTCACGTTATTAGTAACTTGACATAGGAATAGAAACACCAGATGGAGGGTTCTTTGGGACTTAGTAGTCCAGCAAATACTTTATTTATTTATCAGAAATACCAAAGTGAGTCTTTATGTTAACAGGGCCTATGCTGCAGCACAGAGGGTTTAGTACTTTATGAGAGAGCCCTGCTACATTAAAACCCAAGATCTGGCTGGAGAGTGTTACTTATATAAGCTGCGGGCCTGTTCCGATGAGAGGCAAGGTTGAAAGCTTGTGAATTTTGGGTATGCAGATAAGGGGCCCAGATCCCTCTTCTTGATCTTAGCACTCTAGGGTGCCCCTCCTATCTTCATAAAGGCAACAATATCATCTGAATTAGCCCACAGAATTCTACTCCTTTCCTGGTTTAGATTCTTCCCTAGAAAGGAGCCTGACCTCATCCTCCTCAAAGCTGTCCATTTGGCTGTCCCACACAGCACAGGTCACCCATACTTCTGAACTTTAAGCAGCAGCATGAACTCTAGGCCTCCCATGAACTCTAGACCTTATCAAACAGCCCTAGGTTGATTGCTCCTCTCTGCGAGACACCCAGTCCTAGTTCCTGTGGGTCATAGAGGAGCTCACTTCTACTTGATACTACAGTGACACACAGCCCAGAGTCTGTTTCTAGCCTGTTTTGGTCTGCTAAAGGCAAAGGAAGGATGATTTCCTGTTTTCTTTACAGCCAAACATCTCAGAAAGGAAGACTAATCTTCAGTGTTTTTTTCATGGGACTTTCAAACCTTTTAGCCTTGCCTTGCCTTACCTTGCCTTGCTTTCCCTTCCCTTCCCTTTTCTATTTTATTCTTTTCTAAGAGACATTGTCTTCCAATTTTGCCTAGGCTTACCTTGAACCCTGGGCTCAAGGGATCTTCCTGTTTCAGCCTCCCAAGCAGCTGCAACTATAGCCTTGCCTCACTAACCTTCCTTTTTCTAAAAATTTATGTGTATAGAATCTTTGCTGAGAGGAAATGGCTGTCACCCTCCTAATTCCCCCTTCCATTCTTCTGAGAAATCTTGTTCCTCCTTATCTTATGCTCTCCAAAGTGGCTGGAATATTGGGGAAGCAAAACAAACTCTGTAGCCCATGTTAGAATTGTGTCCTCAGTGTATTAGTGTTCCTGTACTTATCCTGTCCTATTCCTAACCCACTTTTTTGTAGTCCATAGTTCTCCACAAAGAGTAAGCTCTGTGAGCCTAAGAATTGTATCCATTTTGTTTGTCTTTGTCTCTCCAGGATCAAGCACAGTGCCTTGAACTTGGTAGGTAACCTGCAAATACTTGTTCACTGAATAGCTAAGTCAAGGTATGAACCTGAGTTCTCCTAGCCTTTGTTCTCCATATTCAGCAACCTTAGCAACTTTACTACTGTAAGGGTTTCTAAAACATCCCAGTCTTCCCCAGACCTTGGTCAAAGGAGATTGATCCTGTCCACCCCCTGGGTAAAAGCCTGAGCTCCTCTAGCCATGTCTTTGTGATGAAGTTTAGAGACTCTGGGGAGACTGCTAATTTTACCTGGGTCTGCATGTCTTGGAACGATGTGACCTTAGACAAGGTATTTATTCTGTCTCTGTTTCGCCTTCCTCATAGGTAAAATGGAGATAATGACAATGTTAACACATATAAAGCACTTAGAATGACACCTATTCATGGTAATATTTGCTGTAATGATGATGATGAAATCATCAATCAATTGTGTATCCAAGAATGTCGTGTACTTTTCAAAAAAACATTTTCTTCATCTGGTTTTTGGTTTGTGATGATCCATATATTGTAGAATGTACACTGGTTTTATCATAGTTCTAGCTTAGGTTTAATTAGACAATGAATTTGCTTTTTAGGCTCAACCCCCCCATATCTTTCTTTTTTTTTTTTTTTTTTTTTTTTTTTTTTTTTTTTTTTTTTTTTTTTAGTCGTGTACTTTTCAAAAACATTTTCTTCATCTGGTTTTTGGTTTGTGATGATCCATATATTGTAGAATGTACACTGGTTTTATCATAGTTCTAGCTTAGGTTTAATTAGACAATGAATTTGCTTTTTAGGCTCAACCCCCCCATATATCTCTTTTTTTTTTTTTTTTTTTTTT